AGAAGCGATTTTTCTGGGTGCAGTGGTCCTGTACATTGCTCCCTGTACCAAATTTTAACCATTAAAACTACATCGATGCTGTTATTCGAATAACAGACGTTTCTGGAAAATGAATTAGCCGCATTACCTGTTAATTTTTTTTGCAGTGTGCCATCCGTATTATAGAATGTATCGGTAAAACTAAGGGTTCAAACTTGTACCGTAAGTAGCCTGCTGAATGATGGTGGTAGAGAACATAGATAGTGGCATCTTTAGGGCTATTGTGTTGGTGAAGTGATGCTATTTCGAATGTCAACTGTTTGATACATACTCAACTCAGCAAAACTTACCCTTGTGTGTGTTATGCTCAACTTAAAGGTTGGGTAGGATTACGCTAAGGGGAGGAGTGTAGAGTGTGTAGTTGTCGCGTTCGCGTTCGTACATCTGAAGAAACTGCCTCCAAAGGGCGGCCGAAGGTCCAGTGACAGCAGGTGTAGCACGCTTGAACGCGATGGGGAAACGACTCAGAAATTCGGTGTCAGCCGGATTACGATTACCCCGGATTACCTCGGATTACCCCAAATACCCCTAATCATTTCAATTGAAATTTGTATAGGGGTACCAATTTTGACACAAAAACGCGTCGAAACACAACACAAGCAGTACCCTTGAGACAGTAGCCGTAGCTCTAGCCGTGCTCAGGCGGGAGAAACGACAGCCACAGTGTACTGCTAGGTCAGGTTCGTAAAATCGCTAATATTCGCTGTGTCATTATTTACTTATGCAGGTGGAAAAGAAATGTTTGGATTAACCTAGCAGCTACCTGCTCAAGATCCCTGGTAATAAAATGCGACATCATGGAATCCAGAATTAATTTGTTAATTTGAAGCAAACACAGCGTGAGCGCTGTAAAAATTAGTTCTTAAAACACAGCTCAGTTGTTGCCCAACAGCTCAGTTGTTCGAGAACAACAGAAGTTGTTGAAAAACAACTACGTTTGTTGTCAATGCATTGTTGACATTGGAATATTGGGCACAATTTTGTTTTTGCTGGCTTGTTTTATTACTGTTGCTAGACAACTTTTGCTGTTAATTGACAAACGAAGCTGTTGTACAACAACACGAGTCAATGAAAAGCTTAACAACAAATTTGCTGTTAAGTGACAACAATATTCTTTTACAGTGAACATGATAACAGAGACAAACGGATGTTGTCAAAAACCAAGGTAAGAAATGGCCGAAGCAAAAGCCCCATTGCTGGCAAACAAAATGAACATCAATTGCAGTCCATAGATGAGGACAAGTACAAGAAAAAATATATTGTCTACAATTAAAACCCAATTAAGGTGGTTAAAAGTTCCATCCTCAGAAGAAGTAGCTCTGTTAAACCCAAGTCTAGTTATTTACATGGCTGGAAGTGAGGAGCATGCTACTGTTATTTGTATGGTTGTGCTGACTCTAAAGAAAATCATGAAGAGAGAAAGAGCACTGCATACAACAAAGCTGAAAACGACTGGTTCATAGTTACTTCATTTCCGCCTTTGCCGTGCTGTTTAGACAAGTTTTTGCGCAATGCATCGGACATTTTTTGACAACGAATACTTTAGACGTTATTTTTCGAAGAGTTCGTACTCAAACACTTTATGTTCGGCAACGATCGAACAAATTTTGTGTTCGGTTCGTTCGACTTTGTTCAGATCCGAACATGTTGGAACATTTTTATCGGAGGCATTTTAAGGATAACGTGGGTATCATTAAGTATAACATGACTTTGAAAAGATCTAGTTTATGTAAGAAAGAAACTTATATATGTCGTTAAGATTTTGAACTGCTTATCCTGTGGCTCTAATTGGCTTATTCGTAGGCTGAGTTCCGCAACTCTAGTACTACAAATTTTAGACTCGGTTTGACCATCGGACATTTTCTTCACTTGTGGGAGTGTTTAGAAAGCTTGAGGTGGGCACAGGAGCCACATTGCGTCTTCGCGCTTCGGGGAACATTCATCCCATAATCCCTATCGTCCTTATAAAGCAGTACTGTGGGAATGTAGAATTATTACACTACCTCTGCCCAGTTCGATGTCAGAGAGTACATTGTAAACTCCGTTAATTTTTGCAAACGTAAGTGAAAACGACTTTCGTCGTGTTCTGACGAAATATAGAAGAGTTACTTCAGATTCCTAGAGTTTCCCGAATATGTCACTTCAGAAAAACAACGCGCCAAAGACGATTGTATCCTTAAAGTCGTCCGGAAATTGACAAAGTTCAGATGAACTTAGGCATTAAGAACGTACTAGAGTTCAAATTGCGACCCTGCTGCAATGCAATCAAATAAATATTCCAAAGAAAATTCCGTCTTCCGCCCGTGTGCAATGAACGTTAAAGCTTGTCGCGTAGCAGGCTGACTACTTTCCACAGCTTGCCCAGGGCCTCCCCCGCTGCGGCGAGGCTGAGCCGCCCTACTCCCCTACAGCGCAGGGCTGGGGTGGTGCTGGCGGTCCTCATGACGAGAGCGAGCGCGCGGGCCTCCGGTAGACTCACGCAGCCGCCGGTAGCAGCGTAGTAGGCGGACGTTGCCAATGAAACGCTCGAGTCGGAGAGCTCCTGGCTGAGGTACGAGAACTGGAGGAAGTCATTCACAATGGGGAGCAGCAAAAGAACCATCGTGAAGCTGACGTCGTCGCAAACCACCTGCGCATTAACAAGTGGTGCAGTATAACATTTCAGCCCCTGTCATGGAGCTGTCACATAGCCTGGTTCAAAATAGAATTTCTTTTGAATTTCATTCTAACACCCAATTGAACTACACCCTGACTGATCCCGAATCATTATTGCACTCATTGACCTCTTGAGCTCAGAGTTTTGCTCCAATTTTTTATTTTAGCAGATGACACCTTAAAAAACCTTTTGAATGAAAATAAAGAATATATGAGTAACTAAGGTGTCAGCTAGCTTTTACTCTCGATTAGGGTAAGAAGCAAGCGGAGGCCAGAAAACAATTTCTTTGGCGCTGGGGGAATGGTATCAGAGTGAGTGGCTGGGGTTCGCACCAGGCGCCTAACTAACAATACTGTGTCAGGCAAGGCTGGGCTGGGCCTGGGCAGGCCCCGTCGGGCCTGGGCAGGCCCCGTCCCTGCACAACGAAACCAGAGGCCACCGACGCCGACCGACTGCCCACGCCTTATCTCCTCAACGCTAGTAGGCTGAATTACAAAATTGCAAGTAACAAGCAGCCATAAACTAATATGAGAGAAAATAAAAAAAAAACAGGCCTATTCTTAAATTTGTATCATCTACTTTCAAGATCGATTCTTCATTTTTACGGGTAATCAATATAACCAGCCTCAAACCGCTTAAACATGGTTTTCCCACAAGAACCCATGTTTGTTCGGTTAGTTTTTAGCTCTTGCTATTTCTGAAATTTACAAATCCTTTAATATTTCAGAGATTGATTCTCGTAGTGCCTTTGATCACATAGTGTAAATGTCATTTTTCTGCGTGCCATGAAAGATACCACTCGAGTTGTCGGCGTAGGCCAATTCAGCTTGCACTCGACTTCCTTGTGCACCTGGTCTGGCGGCCAGAGCCAAAAGAAGCCCACCACATTCTAGGCATTGCTAGCCAACCTACACTGATTAAGGCGAAGACCGTGCTGATGAATGAGGCGCACTGAATATGCGCCAGCTTCGCTGAGAAGTACCCAGTCAGGCCGTGAGTGAGGAGGCGCAGCCGCCGGTGCTTGGCGACCACGTCCTGCACCACGTCCAGGGCTTTGCTAGAGGCAACCGTGAACTCTAGCCGCTGTGCTAGGGCATGGTGCAGCCCTGCAGGCACGGCGGTCGAAATAATCAAGGCCAGGATGACGCACAGGCCGGGTGGAAGCCAAATAAGCATGCAGGCGCCGTAGAAGAGCCGGCCGAACAGCCCGCCCCAAGCACCAGCGTGTGGCACGAACGGCCACAATGGTACCACAGGCTCCTCGGAAAACAGCGTGTCCAGGCACATGTGAATGAAGAAGACAACGATGTAGGTTGTGCTGACCGTGGACAGCACAACGATGGTCCGTTTCGTATGTACCACCCACTGCTGTGTGTTTGAAGTTTTTTGGTGCGATATACGAAATGAGAAATAATTTTATTGCTTTACTATCTTTTTTCTTTGGAACGAAAATCTTCATCGGCTAGCTATCAGAATAGAAGCAAAAAAAAAAACACTGTTGTGGGTTTGACCAGGAACCGATATAAATACAACAGAATTTTAGATGGTTTAAAATTGATAGACCAGCGACAATCGTCTGACTCTGGAAAATCCATCACTTTTGGATTTTCGTTATCGTCAATAATAGGCCGATTGAAACAAATAACACTATGCGCGATAGTTTTGTGTTACTAGGGAATAATAAGTGCAGTTGCAGCTTATATATTATTTACACCACCAACGCGTCGCGGTGAGATCGGACAACGTTGAAATGTCGCGGCAAGATCGGACAACTTTGCTAGGACCCGTCGAGTTGCACACTTGCAAGTATTCATGAATAACTTGCAGTTGCACACTTCCAAGTGTTAAGCAGTTGCACACTAAGTTTATCAGTGAACAATAGCACCTTTGTACACCGTTAAAAATTATCATCGTAAATTTACAACAGTTGTTGTAATTTTTGGTTACAAAATAAGTTGAAAATTTGCGACACCCCATTCTCGCTCGTCGGTCAATTCTGAGTCGACACAGAGGGCTTGTAAATTCACAATCAGAAATTGTAATTCTGTGACACTCATCTTGGAAAATTTTCCCGTAAACCTATTAGTATTATTATTTTTCAGTGGTTCGGATAGATAATGAAATAGACCCACCTTTTCTCCCGGATCAGCCTCTATCACCTTGACCAGGCACCTTAACTCACGCAGCATGACCCAGAGCCGTGGGTGGCGGACAACGAGTACAACCTGCAGCATGGAGTAGCCGAAACCAATGTTGCTGATCGACTGCAGGAGCGACTGGACTGAGGTGGCCGACTGCCGCAGCGTGTCTACGCATACAAATGCGCCGAACAATATCGTGAAAGACAGAGTAAGCTGGAAATCGAAAAAAACAGTCAATCAAAAATCGATCTTGAAAGCAGATGATACCAATAAAAGAGTAAGGCTGTGTTTTACTTTTCTCCCTCATATGTTCAAAAATAATTTGGCCCTGTTGACTAGATTTTAATCATACTGATTAAAAAATGTAGTCAAATTAACTTAGTTTTGATTGACGTGACCAATCAAATTTAGTATAAAACGGAGGTACTAAATCAACGTAGTTGGTTTCAGGAACAAGATTTTGCTTCCTGCGACCCTGATTTGGTCAAATCGACTAAATGGTTTTCTGGGTGTGCCAGATCATTTTTAAGTCGGCATATTCAAAGCATTGCACACATCGATGGCAGATGGCGGGCCATTTGCATTCCAGTGCTGCCCTCGCACAATGCACCTCACTTTAGGAGGCACCTTGCGTGAGAATATATATGTATACAATGCCATCTTTCACGCCATTTCGGCCATAAAAATTTCCCCTACTGATAGTACTTCTAACTGTCGTGTTCGGAAGAGAGTTCACGCACCCTGTTCCTTAAGACGTGCAACAGTAATCGCTGCAGTTGACCTTCCTCAAGGCAAAGCCAGGACAGGGACACGGAGAGCTGCATGGCGAAGGCAACGAGCACGTCGCGACGTCGCTCATCAAGCGAGCTTCAGGGTGAGTCTGGAGGACGCCAGGGTACGAGATCGAAGGGACAGACCACACCAACACGCTAGGCTAGTGTATTATTCGTGACATAATTGTCAAAATGGCTCTCTGTTTTTAGCGCGGTGCTGCAGAGTCACAACAACACGCACGCATGAGAATGAAAAAAGACTGGGTGCTTGTAGGAGTACGGGAGTACGTCCATGCCTTCTTGAACCACCTCTCCTGTGGGCAGCACTCCACTTGAGTACAAAACTTAAACATTCTTTTAAAGGTACTTTTTAACAGTGAACTATGGATGTCTTCTGCATACCCACCAAACGGCCTAGCTCTACGATGAAGAGTTAGACACTAACTGACGCTAAAAGGCATGCATAAGCAGGCCCGTGTGCGTTTGTCAGCCTACCCGTTGGAGCCACATTTCAGCGCCAAAAAGGCACGAAACCCGCTCAATGTGTGTACATTATGCAATAATTTGCTGCATTTCTCATTTCTGAAACCATTTCGTCCAATGTCAGTTTCCAAAAACCGCGCTTTGGCTGCTTAACAAAATTTGCCCCAGTTCAGTATGCAACCCCCGTAGAGCGCTCCAGTCGCGTGGTAGAGGAGGCCACCTCCTCCTGCAATTGGCCTATGGGGATGTACTACATACACACGTAACAAGCAACCACTGCCAGTGACAGTTTCACTCATCGCGATAGTCTGTGAGAGCCATGTGTTTACAAACGCGCCCTTGCGTCTGGCCCCGACCCCCACCCCCTCCCTCCTACGATTTAACTGGACACACACACTTTGCTAAGCACATTTTATAATACCAATACACACTCTAATACTCACACAAACGCGTGTACCTGTCGGCAAAAAAAAAAAATTAAGCGATTTCGCCGTGGAGGTAGGCAACCTGCTCAATGTCCTGCTGTATTATGTATTTCCGAAACTGTAGCAACCATTTTCTGCTCGAAAATCGCGTTTTTCTAAATGTTGCCCCTGCGGAGTATGCAACCCCCGTAAAGCGATCAAGTCGCCGGCTAGAGGTGGGCACCACTTCTTAAAAGTGACCCATGGGTATGTACTCCCAGGTAAATGGGTTTGTATATGGCCATATATGATTTGTATATGATCATATACAGCGATATATGCTTTATATATGACGACATATATGCCCACATATGGGTGATTTCACAAATAAGATGCATGTCGGTGTCCGAGAATTCAACTCATCTGTATTTCTCCCAATCGTCACCGTAGCTAAAACGAATACATTATTACCAAAATATAGCGTGTCTGAGACTTGGCAAGGTCATTTAATTGATTTCAAACACATTCCATCACCATTAAATATATCTTCAACTTCCCTAGCAGACGGAAAATGCGCTGTCCCCAACTCCGCTTTACTGTCTATTTTCGTTATTATCGCTCGCACTTTATTGAACCTGGTCAAAACACCAATGTTTTACGTTCATCAACTCTATGATGCATCGCATTACTCCTATATCGACGTCCCAAATCATCAATAGAAGAGAAACGAATACTTTAAAAAGTGTCACCAGGTTTGTCAGAATTCGTGTTATCGTTGCAGTTATCTCAAATTTCTCGTAAGGTGCAGCGTGCAGTGTGTAGTTAGTGCTCACCGTCGTATAAGAAAGTAGTAGGAATCTGGTGGTCAGAAGGTGATAAGGTAAATATAATTTTCTTCGTTTTGAAGTCCGTTAAACTAACCCTATTTCGTGCGTGACAAAACCACAACTGAACTGATTATCTTAAATTATTTTAAAGTCAGAAAGTAGTTGGTCGTGAAACATGTGTCAGAGAAGTGCTGCTCGGGTTTCTTAGCTGATTTTAGAGTAAGTCCGATATCAAATCTATATTTCTTTAGTTATCTGAGTTAATCGTCAATCGGACACCGTGACGAAGGGGACAAAATTCGTCAATTTTGAATAAAATTCTATTAGTCTGCTACTGTTTTCGATTGAGATAGTTCAAATAATTTATTAAACAATTTCTGAAGTGGTAAAGTAACCCTGACAAATCTTGAAAAACAAAACATTTGTTATTATGCCTTTTGTAGGTTAGGTGTGACGGAGGGAACATATATTAAATATTTTAACATAAATACTTATGGTGCGGAGCTTTTTTCAATTAAAATAGTCGTGCTTTAGCATGAGCAAACGTCTCCAGTTGTAAAAGAACCTTGCCACATCATCATAGTACAAAATATATTCGAGGTAAACCGTTTGGACAGCCACCCTTGCCATTTTGGGGGAATTACCCAGAAATAGGTCGCTGGGAGCTCGCTAAAGAACGTTTTCTTTCTCCATAGGTACCCCTAAAGCATAATAGATAGAAAAACCTCCACTTGCAAACGTTTTCAAAAACGAAAAAAAAGTGACCCAATATGCATCTTATTTGTGAAACCACCCATATATGGTTGTATATAGTCATATATGATCATATATGCTTGTATATGGGCTTATATATTACCATATATGGGTCCATATATTACCATATATGTTTCGATATACAGCCATATATGGTCATATACAAGCATATATGCTAATATAGTGCTATATATGGCTGTATATCGAAACATATATGGTGATATATGGCCCCATATATGGTAATATATACATACAATTAAATATAATCCATATATAGTAATATATGGTCATATATGTGGTCATATATAAGGACATATATTACCATATACAGAACAGATATAATTATATATGACGCATATATAACCCTCATTTACCTGGACTACATACCCTCCAAACCGTTTTGCTCTACTACAATATGCAAGGTTAAATCGCTTGTGTCCCGTACTACTGCCCTGCTGTGCTGCAAACGCTGCGCCTCCCCCTGTCCCCCTCCCAGCCGCTAGCCTTGTGCGGGGAGAGGGCAGCGGTCAAACCCAATGACAAGCATCGCCCATTTGCGTTGTTGATAGCGAGGAGAGGGAGTTCAGTAGGGAGGGGGGGGGGCTGCTTTCACTTTCTGGAAGACAGCCTTGGGAATAGGGTATTCCAGGCTATTTAAAACGGAAGTAGGAAAAGAACAAACTCACTGACTTTTCTGTTTCCGTAATGGCTCTGATTGGTCGAGCTGATCACGTGCCACGACAGCCTTTGAGGTATCGATACCCCCTATGAAAAACCGCTCACCGCCTCGGTGGCTCTGAGAAAACGCTCAGCTCACTCCCCGCCTGCGGACAACCGCTTACCTCGCTTGGCGCTCCGAATAACCGCTTCAGTCGCTTTTTCACCGAAAACGTAATATTGGTATCATTCGAAAGAGAATTTCCGCCTCTTTTGAATGATACCAATATTAGGTTTTCGGTGAAAAAGCGACTTAAGCGGTTATCCGGAGTGCCAAGCGAGGTAAGCGGTTGTCCGCAGGCGGGGAGTGAGCTGAGCGTTTGTCCGCAGCAGCCGAGGCGGTGAGCGGTTTTTCATAGGGGGTATCGGTATGAAAAACTGTCAGATCAGTTTCGAGCCCCCCTCCATATTTAAGAGGTTAGAATCGGACCAAACTACCATGGTAATTTCTCATACTAAGTAGACGGAAACAGAGAAATCAGTGAGTTTGTTCTTTATCACTTCCGTTTAAGATAGCCTGGAACACCCTATTGCGTCTAAAAAGGCACATGCCCTAAAATGGTAGAGGTTTGCGTTTAATAACTGGTGTAATTCAACGTTATAGGAGTAGCCTGTACACCAAAATGTGGGGCTGTTAACCCCCTCGATCTGCGTGCATCAGGCGTGTACAAGTGTAGGTGTGATCAACTCTAGGTGTGACCTACTTTGAGTGTGACCTACTTAGGGTAGGGTGGCCCACGGCAAAAAAATTATCAGACCGGCGGTTAGATATTAAAGATCGAGATGACCCATGCTCTGGGCATTCCAAAACCGCCCCGTTCGTCCTGATCGGACCCCGGGAACCACTCGCTCAACGTCTTTGCATTTTGACCTGGGTTTTTTATGGGCTTTTGGGTGTAAAATAGAAAAGCGACCCTGTAGAGTCCATAATTCACCATAGAGCAATATAATTGTGAAATTCGTAATCTACGTTAAAAACTGAATCTGGCAATATAGCGTTCGTTACTGTACCACCTAGTACCCAGATTTGCTACCTCTCATAAATCTCCATATTGTGAAAAATGAGTGAAAATTCAAAGCTCAGCAAATCTGGGTACAGGGTGGTACAGTAACGATCGTTATATTGCCAGATTCAGTTTTTAACGTAGATTACGAATTTCACAATTACATTGCTCTATGGTGACTTATGGACTCTACAGGGTCGCTTTTCTATTTTACACCCAAAAGCCCATAAGAAACCCACGTCAAAATGCAAAAACGTTGAGCGAGTGGTTCCCGGGGTCCGATCAGGACGAACGGGGCGGTTTTGGAATGCCAAGAGCATGGGTCATCTCGATCTTTAATATCTAACCGCCGGTCTGATAAATTTGTTTTGCCGTGGGCCACCCTAACTTAGGGTGTGACTAGCTTTGACCGACACTGGCTGTGACCGACTTTAGGTGAGACCGACTCTAGGTGTGACCGGTTGTGACCCACTTTACGTTTGAGAATCTCTAGGTATGATTCTAGCTGTGGCATAACTCTTACTGTAATTAACTCTTCGTGTGACTGACTCTTGGTTTGACCTACTTTGGGTGTGACTACACTGTTATAGTCGAGCCAGCCAAAGGTCCCGATTTCTGTGGCGGTTGGAGAGCTGCCCCCACTCCTCCGGCTGTACCCCCTCCACAGGCCAGCGGGGGAGCGGGGCGGGTGGTGCGGCCTGGTGCGGGCGTTCTCCAACCGCCACAAGAATCGGGACCTTTGGCTGGCATACATCTACCTAGGCCTGCGGTGCTTACACCCGAGTCGGGCAAAATGTAGAGTCGAAAGTAGGCATTCGGACCCAAAAGTCACAAACTTTGTTCCTCGGGGTTTTATTTTAACGAGTTACCCCACCGGAGACCATCAAATATCTGAGATACACATTGAAATGTTTT